GGCAGGTTTCTAAGGTTCTTCTTCTACATATTAAAAACGTTGTTAAACACCTGAGTGGTTTACTACCGCTACTAGTGGTAAGAAAATGAATTGCACCTTATTCAAAATCAATGTGGTCCCACAGCCCTCTGTGGCCCAAAGTTAAAAACTGTTGTTCCTTTGAGGCCCTCAAGGTGGCGCTCACGGCCCACAACTGGCCCATGGGTTAAGAATCTCTGCTTTAAATTATTGAAACAACATTAAGCACACATTTTTGAAGAACTTGATCAGTAAAGACATTTTGAAGTGACAAAATTCCAAATAAAAATGAARTTGATCCACGTCACAAAACAACAGATTTTAAAAGTTTTTTACTAAAGTAAAACACAGTTAACTGGTTTTAAATTTGTAATTTATGCACCAGGTTTAATGTATGGTGAACTGAAAGTCTAAGCTTGAAAAGCTCTGCTCTCATTCATTCTTCATGCAGAGCCAAATTAAAGATGTTGATAGTATTTCTTTAAGTCGCTGCAGGCAACTCCGGTTTGGATTCACAATGATCGATTGGTAACTTTCAAAGGAGGGTTGATGAAGGAAGGTATCAGTCCACGTGAATTATTTAACATCTGTGTTTACATAATTTACCTCTCAACAAATATGCCAGCTTGAACAGCGTGGACGATGCTCCGGAAGCGAGGCTTTTCCTCATTCCGTCTCAGCATCAAGCCCATCTGTCTGGTGAAGGTGGAGGCCAGCCAGTCGCGCACCTCTGAGGGCACCGACTCGGACTGGATGTCACTGAGCTCATCCTCTGTGTCCACCAGTCGCCTGCAGCAAAGGATGGACAAAAGACAAAAATAAATAAGCAAAGAAAAAGTGGGAATGATGCAGGGTCAAAAGGTTTATTTCAGCGGAGATAAAACACAAATCCTTGGCTTGTCCGTCAAACACATCACCTCTTATGTAAAAATCAAAACATCTCAGAAACCCCATAAAGCCAAATACAAATCCTGCTGAGTGACATAATGCTCTGTGGCYATGCTGACATGTGTAAGGGATGAAAAGCAAAGCCTCCAAACTGAAAACATGCTCTTATGGCAAAGAGAAAATATTCACATAACACCGATGGTGCTGCATGCTTTCATCCTCTTTCTTGGAGTGGAACCAGGTGATTGGTGAACCGTATCAGTGTGAACGCAGTTGATGAACAATTTACATAATTTYACAACCCTGGTCACCACTCAGATTTGGAACGTTTTTCGTTAATTGACAAATCATTCCAGTGTCTTTGAACACCTTAATTGTTTAAGAGGACTTGGTCAGGAGGAAAACAGTTCCAGGAATATGCAAAATACTTTTCAACTTTCACAGAAGGTGAGAAGGTTCAAAAAGCATTWTCCAAACTGTGGAATACAATTAAAWTTGTGTTTGCYATGCCATTTTAAGTTRTGTTACAAATAAATTCACATRYCMGGTTATATTTGGTTAGGGAAATTGAAACAAATAAAAAAAAGCCATTTTATGCACAGAAAAGCCCCTTAATATTTAATAAGTGAAAGCTGAGAGTTTTGTAAGTTAAAAGTACATAACGTCACAAAGATTGTACAAAAGAAATTCACAAAGTCAATAACAAAAATATTTTTGTCATACTAATGGGTAATGTGTCCTTAAATTAAAAAAAAATCTTAATTTCTACACTGAACTGAAAACCTATGACCATATTTGTTTAGCTACACCAGCTTAATCTAGGTCAAATGAGAGACTCCTGTTTTCTCAAGGTTTTCAATGGGTTCAATTCAGTGCTTTGTTTATATTACATGAGAACCCACATTTCAGGACTGCATCTAAGTATGTATGAAAAACTACAGGAATAAATGCTTATGATTGAAATACTTTGCAACAAGTATCTTTAAAGTATAAATTACAAAAACAACAATGCACATAAACATTACCTTAACAATATAACTTGAAGTAGCATATTTAACTCACAAARTAAGTGAAACAAGTTCGCATTAGGCGCAAGGGCTAACAGTACAGTTTCCTAAAATGGTTGAGTTTCTGTGACCAGAGAGGGGGAAAAATGGTTCAAGTTAATTTCCATARTAATTACAGTCATCAATTTTGCCGAGTCTTCCCATCAGGAGTGCTGCTCCGCTGTTCACAGTAAGTGAAGCATGTCAAAACTTGTTCCACTAAAAGGTGATTTTGTTTATCTTACCTGGTCTCCTCGATGTAAACAGATTCGAGCACAGACGCTGCATACTCAAGGTTTTTCTTAAGGTCACCAAGAGAAGCCTCGCCTCTCTCCAGCTGCTTCACCAGACATCGTAATCTGAAACAGAGATCCAGCAGCCATTAAACAAATGGGATTACACTTCTGCTGTACCGACATGATCAATTCATTGCAACTCATTKTCAATTAATCGTGTCTGTGCTCCTGCTACTTTTAAATACATGTTTAAATTTTAGCTCAAATCTCTAATTAAATAACACTAGAAAATGCAACAATTTTAAATTATTGCTACAYAAATTCTAATTGTTTTGGGKGGAAMTTAAGAAAAATAAATCATTTCCTTTTATAATTGCAGCTAAAGTGTGAAATATAAAATGAAATAATTTCATTTGTTAAATTATGGTTCCATTCTTTTGAATTTTTGTGTTCTTGACAAGAACAGGTGTAATTAGATCCAATGCTAATTTCTCAAAAGAGCTTTGTCAAACGCACACAAAATTATTGACAAAATTTTAATATGAGAAWGACTGCTTTCCCTTCATGTCCATTTCCAGCTCTGCAGCTCAGRTATTTTACATGCACCATGCCTGCAGGGATGCATAATTGGAGCTGAGCAATTGTTAACATTATTAGTTCCACCTGAGCTTTTCCTGCGTGGAAAAGTCAAAATGTCTGCCRTTTGAAAGGCTTCTTCTAAAAATTGCCCGTCTTTGATGTCTGCGGGGGACTCTGCGTTGACTCATTTCCATGTGTTGACTATTTAAAATAGAAATTGCGGTTCCAAGTGGCTTTTGACACCATTAACAACTCTTATTATCAAACTGYCTGAAAAACTGGGTCAGTGTCACTTCTTTTGCCCTTGAATGGCTCAGATCCAACTTTGCAGACTTTATGTGCTTTAGTAGTAATTTACAACACTTTTGTTATATTTTGTTACTATAGTGTTGGACAAACTAAGTGAGWTAATGTTTCACAAGCAGTATGGTGTGGGATTTGCATGAAATGAACTTGCAGTGTGATTTTTTTTAATTTCTTTAGATATTTAGATTTTTAAATATCAAGAGAAAACCATGCAAGTATGTGAATMACTTCTATGTTCTTTTTTTAATTCTCAAGCTTAAAAATTGTTCTGGTCACAACTTGAGTTTTGCTCATTGCCACTTCTTGCAGCACACCACCTGCTGCTGTGCCGTAGCTAACATGCTCCCTTTCACAATGAATGCCCAGAGAGACTTTGTTCACTGCTGAATTATTTAAAAGAACAGCRGGAGAGTCGGAAATTTCCAATGCGCTCATTGATTGCATTCATAGAAAGCAGTTGCAATTTTGGCCCTAAAAGTTACCACTTTTATGTATCAAGATGTTTGTTAGAGTATGTTAATATAGATATTCTTGAACTTTTATGGCCAAAGATAAACTCTTTTGTGAACTTAAGCGCAACACCTATATGTATCTCCAGCAGAACTGTTTGACAAATACTGGCAGAAAAAAAACAGACACAGCTTACAATCTAGCACTTGCTCTTCAGCTGTTCAGTCATATCAGGCGATGCTAAATCTAATCTCAATCCTGCAGCAACTCTCAAAGGATCCACACAGTTTCCAAATTTATTCAGCAGAGTTTAAAGTTGCGCTCTGTGAGACTGATAGTTGAAGGTAGACGATTAGCACGCTAACATCCTAAATGGTTACAAGAAATCTTCATCATTTTAGTTCTGTTATGTTAATTATTTCTGATAAGCACAAYGTTGAAACCCAATTGATCCTGATTCAAGCTCAGCTTCTACCAAGTAAATGTCACCTCATTATTTGTCTTTTTGAGTAATGGAGTCATTTTTGTGTTGGAAAAGGTAGATTAGCAGTGACAGCCGTTATGAATTGGGTTCAAATGTAAATGAGTTATAAATCTACATGCAATGATTACTTTCTAAAAATTTCCCTAAAATCTGTCAACCAATTCATGAGATACGTTGATAATTTTCCTGACAGGCAAAAACATTATTGGTCTGTCCTCACAGTGATAAAGTAAAATCAGTAAAACACATTTTTTTTGGAAAACAGTACTGCTTTTTAAAAATCGTTTCTGAATCAACAAGCTTCTAATATATTCTGTAAAGGTCAGGGCATCAGCCTGCACAATAAACCCAAAAATGTCATCAGATCAATGTGTTATTCTCAGAGGTAATGTCAAAAATGAATAAAAAAAAAGGGGTTCAACAAAACTTTCATGTAATGCAAATAAATTATTTTTTTAAGTTTTAGTTGCTTCTGTTTTTAACAAACACATTATAAACCTCATATTCTGGTCAAAGAACATTTTGTATAAGATGTTGAGAAGATCTGAATTAAAGAGACAGATCGATCTTAATGTCATAATACAGGGCATCAAAACAGCAACAAATAATAGTTTTGATTATTCAAAACTATTATAGGAATCAATACATCATACTGTATTAGAATGCACAGATTAAATGTGTTTTTGGAACATTAAGAGCTGTGGATAGCATTGTGCCAAAGTCTTTTTTTAAGCCTGGAAGAGCTTTTTGAAGAATAATCGGGAAATAAAGGCTAAACTGCAGCTCTAAACAACTGCATGTGATTTGGATGGTGCTAATAATGGTTATTAAGAACATCTGTGTGCCAGTAAGCTTCCCCGCTTCAACACACATACACACAAAATAAAATTCAGGATCTCCTAGAACAAATCTCACAGTGCATTATTAACCAAACAGATTGCTTTATTTCTTTATTTTTTCTCAGAAAAAGTAGTAGTATTTGTTTGAAAAGTTCACATTGAAAACAAAAAAAGATTGTCAGTCTAACAATAGACTGGATGGCCATCAATTTTTTTGTAGCTTTTGCACAATAGAAAAAAATAAATAACTGTGAAGCATTCAGACTGGGCTTTATATTGAGGGCGAATGCTTTTATTTTATTTTTTAYTTTTTTGTAAGATGAATGAAAGTAAAACTTGCCTACTATGAAAACACAAAAACAAGTTCTGTCTTGGAGAATGCAGGACAAATAGAAATATTTGACAGAACAGTTGAAATACCGGCTTGTTCGAGCCGGTGCTCCGATAAAACCTGCTTTTAAAATCCCCCCAAAAACACATGATGAGCTAAGCCTCATGGTGTACCTGACACGTAAAGTACATCTGCCAAATAAATCTAATTAATTAGTTTGTTTTACTTGATGACATTACCAGTAAAGGCAATATGAAGTGGTAATACTACAGGTCAGGGTTAAAGAAAGTCTTTGGCAGAAAGCCAGTTAAAATATTCAGTGTAATATTGGAGATGATGAACTGACATGTAGTTTTTTTTTTTTTTTTTTTTTTTTTGGCTACAAGAAAACATTTTAATCTGCTGTTTTCTTTTATTTGCAATAAAAAAGCTCTAAATCATATAACATAATATTTCTAGTTAGCAATAGGAAATGTGCAGTGGTTAAGCAATAAGCTGACAAAGTGAACGCTCATAAAAACTGTGCATAAAAAATACACAGATCATTAATAAAAGATGTCAGTGCATTCCTATATTTATCCCACCTTCAGATCCATAAAATGAAACTTGATGTGAAAGTAAGTGTTAGGTGGTGATAATTACACTCTCCTTATGGGGTGACAGTTTGACTTTAAGCTGTGTTGTTCTCTTTGCTCCTGAACTCTGTCTTTATCACATCAAAACCTAAATAGCTTCCTAGGGTTTTTAGATAAAAAGGTAGTAAATGTCTTTCTTAAAAAAAAGGATTCCCAGGTAGTTTAAACCGCATAAATCCTCTGGTAATGCTAAACACCCTATTTATCCCAGSTAGTTTGGTCACAAAAGTTAAAAAAATGGAACTGTTTCATTGAGCTTAGAAATAAAGGAATTTAAATAAACGTGTGTGCATCTGAATAATTAGGTAACTTTGAAAGCAAAACTTAGCTGCTGGCTTGTCTCCAGGACTGTGGGGTGAGCAGGTGGGGTCACAGCTGACCCTTCTCACCCTGCACGCAGCCTGTTTACCACTCCTCTCAGGCTGAAGGTTTTGGTCCATTCTGACCAGAACATCCCACCATAAGAACAGTTTCTTCCCTTCTTGAACATTGACACTTGAACATTTAGAATCAYRTCACTTTATAACTCTGCCTTGGCCACTTTATCACTGGATTTTAAATTGCACAACCCTGATTATATTGTTTTTCTGATCACTTTCATTGTATCCAATTGCACTACTCCAATTATATTGTCTTCTCTGATTACTGTATTGAACTGGTGAACATATGTTTTATATATTTTATTCTATTTTTTTCCTTTATCCTTTGTATTTTCTTTATTTGTTATATGTTATACTTATTGCACCTTTACACCAAAGCAAATTCTTAGTCTGTGAATCCTGTTCATTGGCAGTGGCAATAAAACTGATTCTGATCATCATCACACAACCTGCATAAGACCTGCATTAAAAAAATGACCATGTATATTGTTCCTCCAAACTGGTTTGAGTCGTCATTCGGTTAAGAAGGCCATGAATGGAGCAAAGAGAAGACATGAGCCTCCAGCTGCCTTTATATCTGAAGATGGGATTTGTTTTCCTCARAGTGGTGAGAATGAAACAGAGATTAAAGGTGGAATTCAGGTTGAGAGTGGTTTTCCCCCCTTTATTCCCCTTTGCTTTTAGTTCTTTGCCCTGAAATGACCTACTTAGAAAAAAAGAATGGAAAAGAAATGAAAGAACCACAACTATCTGCTACTGAACTACAGCAGACTTTCACAAATGCTTAAACTCTCCACAGGTTTGGAGACTAAAAGTCATCATAAAGAGTAAATCCCACACTCGAGGTTAACACGACAACAGACTACTTCTTTAGGAATTACTTTGTATCGCTTTTTGGATACTCAGCGCATCCGCTGAAGTGAAAAGAAATGTGGTCTCATTCTGATTGTCATAAAAACAGGTCTTTTTCTGCTTTGAGAGGCTGCAGCACCAAAAAGAACCTTTTCTCCAAACAACAGAACAAAAAAGGGGTGGATAAATWGGTCTGGTTGAGTGGAGGGGGGAATGGGAGCAGTGCCAGGATGCAAAAAATTGGTCACCGCCTGTGTTCCAATGACA